ATTCTCTCGTGTTGTGTATTTCGTTGGTTAGTTTGTTTAACTAACTGGATTCTCTCGTGTTGTGTATTTCGTTGGTTAGTCTGTTCAACTAAATGGATTCTCTCGTGGTGTATAGCTTCGATTGGTTAGTCTGTTTAATTAACTGGATTATATTGTGGTGTATAGTTTCGATTGGTTAGTCTGTTTAATTAACTGGATTATCTTGTTGTGTATAGTTTCGATTGGTTAGTCTGTTTAATTAACTGGATTATCTTGTTGTTATGTAGAGTTTCGATTGGTTAATCTGTTTAATTAACTGGATTATCTTGTTGTGTATAGTTTCGATTGGTTAGTCTGTTTAATTAACTGGATTATCTTGTTGTGTATGGTTTCGATTGGTTAGTCTGTTTAATTAACTGGATTATCTTGTTGTGTATAGTTTCGATTGGTTAGTCTGTTTAATTAACTGGATTATCTTGTTGTGTATAGTTTCGATTGGTTAGTCTCTTTAATTAACTGGATTATCTTGTTGTTGTGTAGAGTTTCGATTGGTTAATCTGTTTAATTAACTGGATTATCTTGTGGTGTATAGTTTCGATTGGTTAGTCTGTTTAATTAACTGGATTATCTTGTTGTGTATAGTTTCGATTGGTTAGTCTGTTTAATTAACTGGATTATCTTGTTGTGTATAGTTTCGATTGGTTAGTCTGTTTAATTAACTGGATTATCTTGTTGTGTATAGTTTCGATTGGTTAGTCTGTTTAATTAACTGGATTATCTTGTGTATAGTTTCATTTGGTTAGTGTTTTCAATTAAAAAATTGTTCTTTCTCGTGTTGAGTAGTTTCGGTTGGTTAATTTCTTTTTAAAAAATAGTATTCTTACTTGCTGTCTAGTTTCTTGTTGAATTATGCTACTTATCAAGAAAAATGGAACAGACTTTGATAGTGAATAGAATTAAAAAAATCCAAACCAAGTCGACGGTCTTTGTTCCATGTATAATTTCTTCATTATAATTTACAAAAACAACTAAACAGCATGTGAAGGTTACAAGTACGAGGTATTTTAAAATCGTTTGTTTAATATGACTACTTAACTAAGCACAGAATTACACTGCCATCAGTTGTTAACAGTTCATTTGGTACTAGACAGTATGTAATTAATCTTCACCTATTTGTTGAATTTACACATTTTCGTTACTTTCTTATGAAGTTATTGATATAAAATATAAAATAAATGGTGTCAGATGTTAACGTCTATTCTCACTAAGAATATAGTATTTGTATTCACATTAATAAAAATATTTTGGTTAGTCAAATAAGTATTCTTACAAGTGATTTCAATGTACTTCTCATAGAAACTGTTTTTCGTCATAAGCTGTTTACTACATCGTTAACTACGAATAATTAAGAATTCGTAGTATTTTTGTTAATTATATAACTTTTATGAATCTTCGTTGTAATAAATTTTTTATCAAAGCAAACTATCTACATAGATCAGAGATAAATGTTAACTCAGTAATTAAATTAATATAAATAATTTAATATCAGTCCTAACTAGCTGTACGCAAGGTACAAAAACAAAAACGTATAATTACCAGAATGTACTGATTCATCACTTGGCCACATTCGCTGCTTTCAATATATTCGGCTGTAATCCTAACAAAATCTCACGAGATTCAGCCAGCTTAGGGGGTTTAGCTTAAATTAAATCCTCATACTAATTTATCAATGCAAAGTAATCATCAAAGAATAAAAGATTAAAATATAAATGAAATAAATTAATATAGTGTATACATTAAACATTTTCAACAACACTTAATCAAAATAACATTAAAATGAAAATGGTATGAAATAGTTTATAGGAATAGTTTATACTAAGGAATTCAAAGTTACTATGAATTCACAATGTATTTGATCAATTATTTGAATATAGTTATCAACCTAGCGATTAATACCGTTTCTCTTTTTTTATATTTCTAGAAGCACAATATTGAATTAAACTAGATGACGAGGAACCAAGAGGTAAAAGAAGTGAAGGAAGAAAAGATCATGAACATATGTAATTGTTTGATGCAAGATTTCTCATGTCTTGGATTTAATGGATTTATTGAACAACTACTCCAATAATTTTCATAAGTAGAAATAGAGTTCTACAGTTGACTCCGTAATCAAAATGAACGCCAGTAGTGTTTTAACTTGTGCTTTACAAACTTGGACAATTATAATTTATTTATGGTGCTTTTTATTTTCGCCGACAATGGCAACAGAAGATAACTCTACCAAATGTAAAGAAGGGTTGTTATTACCTCTGTGGCAGCCCAATGGAAATCTAAGCACTGGAGATATAGTAGCGAGAGGGATTGTGTACTTTCTCGCCCTGGCTTACATGTTTGTGGGTGTATCGATAATAGCTGATCGTTTTATGGCTTCGATTGAAGTTATTACATCCAAAGAAAAAGAAATTGTCATTAAAAAAACAAACGGCGAAAAACAGACCATTAGCGTGAGAATTTGGAATGAGACCGTTTCTAATCTTACTCTCATGGCTTTGGGTTCTTCCGCACCAGAAATTCTTCTTTCAATCATTGAAGTTTACGGTCAGAACTTTGAAGCAGGGGAAATTGGCCCAGGAACCATAGTTGGAAGTGCAGCCTTTAATATGTTTGTAATCATCGCCATCTGTGTTTATTCTATCCCTGAAGACGAGAGTAGAAAAATTAAGCATCTGAGAGTATTCTTTGTTACCATGACCTGGAGCGTTTTTGCATACATCTGGCTCTATCTTATCTTAACCTGGTCGTCCTATGGAGTCATCGAGGTGTGGGAGGGTGTAACAACTTTTCTTTTTTTTCCTGCTACTGTCCTAACGGCTTACATTGCTGATCGGCGTCTTTTGATTTACAAGTATCTATCTAAGAAGTATCGGATGAAGAAGAGCGGGATGATCGTGGGATCAGAAGGGGAAGATCTTGAGATGGGGAGTACTAAGGCTAATTACTTGCCTGATGGAGACATTACAATTCTTGAAGAAGATGGTAATGAAGAAGTTCGAGAATTTGAAGAACATCGAAGGCTGTATATTAACATTCTTCGAGAACTTCGCCATAAAAATCCCGACTCCCCAATGGATGATTTAGAATTGATGGCCCGCGAGGAAATTCTTAACCGTGGCCCAAAGAGCCGGGCCTACTACCGCATTCAGGCTACTCGAAAATTAACTGGAGGAGGTAACCTCATGAAGCGGAAATTTGAAAGGCGCGAGATAAAGAAAGAGGAGAGCATGCTGGAGAAAGAAGAAGTCATTATTATTGGTTTCGATCCTTGCCATTACACGGTGATGGAAAACATAGGAGAATTCGCCGTCACTGTCACCAGAGATGGAGACACTAGCCACACAATCTGTGTCGACTTCCAGACGGAAGACGGAACTGCTAACGCCGGTTCCGACTACGAGCATGTGGAGGGTACTCTAGTGTTCCGCCCAGGGGAAGCCCAAAAACAAATATACATCAAGGTTATCGATGACGATGTTTTTGAGGAAGATGAACACTTCTACGTGCGATTAACTAACCCTAGGTACTTGGGCTCGGATGGTCCGGCTGGTTCTATGAATGGCTCTATTGGTAATATAGGACTGCGTCCTCTTATTCAATTGTCCACGCCAGCTCTCGCCACAGTGATGATTTTAGACGACGACCACAGTGGTATATTTGGTTTTCCGGATGTGGAGGTCGAAACCTCTGAATCGGTTGGAGTTTTATCTTTAAAAGTGTGCCGATACAGCGGAGCACGAGGCACTGTGATTGTACCATTCAGGACCATAGATGGTACCGGTAAGAGGAACAAGGACTTTGAAGAACTTACAGGGGAGCTTGTCTTCCAAGATAATGAAACTTGGTAAGTATAATATTTGTGTTTGTTTCTCGGTTCTAATTCTAATATTTACAAACAAAATCTCAGACCACTCTGATTTCTATACAACACCATTAGTTTGAATGATTATCGTTAATTTCTGATCAAAGCAGGCGACCTACATAGATCATAATTTAAAGGTCACCCACTAATTAATGTAGCTAATTTAATAGACCTGCCCGAATCAATGCATTCTAATCATTATAAGTGTTTACTTTTTCATGTTGCATATTTCTTCTAATCAAAATGGAACCTTCGATATCAGGACATTTTCAGCCTTAGTACCGGTAGTATGTTCCTAGATCCATTTACTAAGTTAACGTTGGATATTAAACACTTTAAATTAATACTGATAATGAAAGTAACATGAAAGAGTAGAATGTAACTTGCTTACGAAACACGTAAAAACTAAGTGTTTGATTCACGAACTATCAGTGAGTCTCTGTCTTTTTAAAAGCTGCAGTACCACATTTCAAATTAAAATTTTGAATGAGACAGATTTTTTTCTATTGTGCTAGATATTCGTGATGTTCTTTTTAAATAAAAATATTGCAACTAACTTACGATCAGTGCAAGCTACCTACTTAGAGCAAAACTAAAAGTCAACTAAAAAAGTATAGTTAATTAAGTTTACTTTTCTTAGATTTTTAATTATAGAGACTAAAATGAATTGTTGCATCAGTTAGGTACCCTCGCTGTTAACAATATTTTAACCGTAAACCCAATAATATATTAAAATATTTTTTATTAATATTACAATAAATAATAAAAAACTAGTTTGACCACCAATGTGTAAAAGTACATATATTATCTATTTTTTTTACTGCAAGATGAGCGTTGACTTTTTAGATGGTTGTTAGATTTCTGTTATCATTTGACTTATTGTTTATTTCGTGCTTCTATTCTGTTTATATTATGCCCTATTCAATTTCGTTGAACATAAGATGTGAACAGACAGGTAAGATTACAGCGAGTTTCTTTATAGACTTGATCTTGAAGAGAAAATATCTAGAAATTACAAATAATAGGATACGAGAAGAGCTTACAATTTACCGAAATTTACTATAATTATTCTTAGATCTAGAACAATAAATTTTACTATATTGCTAATTTATTTTAAGTTGTATTATACTTTCACAATGTATTTTTCAGGAAGTTTCTGTGCTGCTTTTACGTTTAAAACATACTCTAAATGTAGCACTTATTAAAATGACTTTTTCTATAAAACGTGTATAATTTGTCCTACACTTTTAATTCACGATTAGTATAATTCACTGAGCATAAGTTAAAATAAAGACATAAAATATAAATAAAATAAAAAACTGCAGATTTAAAATCCTACATCCAAGGTTTCACAAGGATTTGAGTGCCTTAAATTTAAATGATTTTGGAGCCTCACCATGTCGTTAAAGTCCATGTCACTACGTCCGAACACACTCTTTCTGACGACTGTGCATCTCCTCAATCATCCTGCAGCGTAATATCTATTACAAAAGCTTCCTCGTAAGGCTGTGAAGTCCAAAACACAACATTCCTCTCTGTTGCTTTCCATAATCCACCTAGTGTACTAGGACGATGGTTTCCTAGCGTCCGTTTCAACAGTTCGATCGCACAGATTTCTAAAGGTGCTGCATTCGGCGACTTGTGCGTAACGTCTTCTTATGGAATAGCATTAACACCCATTTCAATATAAATCTGCTTAATGTATACTATGATAGAACTGGAGGTGTGACTAGAAATCTTGTCTTGGTGAGCCAATATTTAGTTGGTCTCGTTTCCGGACAGAGATTGTTTTGATTATATTGCTTACTTTTGCTTGGAACACGTAGACGTCTCTTGTCACTGTTTTTTGTGTTCTTGGATTCTCACCTGTTACAAAACACCGCACTTTCTTTACCAGAGCTGGAGTACGACTTGCTGCAAGTCTCTTTCTGAATAGTCATGGTTTGCAAAGTTTATCCATATTCCTTTTTTCCAATGCCATTAAGTACAAGGAATATCCCAGATTTTTAAATTTATAAATCCCCGATCTGAACATATCTTTATGATCTGAGTGTATAATATTTTGCGTCGGAAATGGTTGTTATATACTCTTCCCAAATGTGATCAATTTTTGCTAGCATCACACTATCTACGTAACGCCAAACAATGTCGAAATATAGTTCTTATACATTCCATTCCACCATTCCATTTTATAGGCTATGGTTGTCATGTAACCTGCATATTCCAAATCGTTTTAGGATAGTGTACTCAACTCTATGTACATTTTATTCACAAAGTATCTCTACTATAACACGTTGAATGACGTTTTTATTATATTTTTATCAGCTTTGAACTTTTGCTTTTTAGAATAAGCTTGCGTAACACAACCTTTTGTTTAGTAATTGATTTTATTGGGAGGACTTATATTCTTAAGCGTAAAAACGTCTATGATTAAAAGCACTTTTCTTTAATAGTCGCAATTCCAAATTAGACAAATTAATTCTAAACTTTACTCATTGGTCAGTAAACCAAAGCTATATAATAAAAATATTTTCAAGTAATGGATAACATTTGTGAATACAAGGAATACTACTGTGTTGATGATTACTGATGTAAAGTGATATATCCGCTTTATTAAAATACCATGTCTCCCCTGCTAAGAACGAGAACAAATAATTTTAAAGGTCAGTGAAAAGTTTCGTTTAAGAAGGTTTTCAAAATGTGCTTTCATCTGACGAGGAAAAAAAATTAATTTTATTTTTTTTAAATGTGCCGCGATTGTGTTGTTAAATGAAACAGCTTTGTGATTGAAAAACGAGAAACTTAAGTATAGACTCCCACGATTTTGTTTTACCTCTTGGAAATACAAAAAAAGGTCATATTATCATCTCTAAGTTAGGAGAATTGTTTCAAAGTTAGTTCACATAGATAAGTTTCACGTCTTTTAATAACAAAAAATATATAATTTAAACACCAGCTGAAGTTTTCTTTCATTAAACTAATTCTTCGGTTGATCAGTGGTAAGTTTAAAGACTTAAATAGCTAAAATCCTGGCTTCGATTCCCCACGGTGAACAGGGCACAGATAGTCCATTGTGTTACCTTGCGCTAAAACAACAACAACATGGTTAAACTAAGATTAAAATAGTGAACTAATAAATATCTTTCACATCCGATCGAGTTTTGTGGTGAGAGCTTGCTGAGCTTTCCTTGAGTACCTCTCGTACGTGGTGATGTCACGTTTTATCTAATTTATGCCTCGTCTGGATAAAAAAATAAGTAACCCATTTTTAGCAGAACGTTTTCTGTTGTTTCGCTCTCTCTCTCTTCTTTTTTTAAACTTCTTTGAACTACACAGTCTTCTTTTTCAACACTGGGGAAACTCGGAGCTACACAAGATTGCCATAAGTATTCAGTAAGCTTAATATCACACTCCGTCTTGGAAATTGAAGAAAATTATATTATCGCTTAGCACACAAACAAAGTAATAGGCTAATCATTTATCATTTCGTGAGCAAGAAAGAGAATACATATTATACTAGGCAAAACCTATGTCTCACTTGTATCATTTGTATAATGTAAAGTTTAATTAATTGACATTTTAGATGAATGCCTTTCCTCAAGTCTTAATTAGATTATAAAAACGTCTTTAAATTTTGTTCTAAGAAGCACAGTGTTTATTCTGTTTTTCGTAATTTGAAGTAAATGTTGAGCTAGCTGGACCGTTTTCCTTCCATGTCCAGGAAACTCCGAAAATCCCTTCATTCGCTTTTGTTTTATGAAGTGTTACTAAATAAAAATTACAAATTTCAATCCTAGTACAGAGGTATTTTTGTGATGAGGTAAGAATGAATAGAGGGCGCTGATATATTCCCGAAATATAAGATAAATTTATATTTCAGTCTATGGAGACTTACGGTAACTCAGTAGTAAACTTGGGGACTAACAACGCTAATATTCGGAGCTTGATCCTTGTGATGGGCGAATACTGAATATTTTATTGAGGAGAATTTGCTTAAAAATTAAATAAACAATCAGAAAGTTTAATGAAGACAGTTTCTAGATATTTTACTTTTCTAGAATTCCATACTTCATAAATCTTTTCAATCTTTATCACACGTTGTATTAAACCTATAATTACAGATAGTGGTTCGTAAGGACCCCATCGGATTTTTAAACGTATTTTTCTAAACGATATATGCACCAAATTGTTTATAGGTTCATGGCATTCTTGGCCAGAGGGTTTTTGATAGTATGAGTTACACAAACATTTAACAAAAATACGAATAATGTTGTAATCAATCCCACGAATTGCTGCTGGGATTCTGGATATATACTGCTTAGAAAATTTTTAATTTCACTCATTATGTTTCAATCCGTTGTTAGGTAAGATTTAGATGAGATAAATAAGTAAAATACACAAAGAATATTGTTGTATTTCTTTATGTTCAATAATATTGTGTTCTGATTAATACGACGTTTACTCATAACAATTTGACTTTCTTCTCAAGGAATCGGTTAACAAACAAAAATGTTAACTTTCCACTGAAATATTACTAACGTGTAGTAGATAGCTGCTTTACCTTCAACTGAATATTACTAACGTGTGGTGGACAGCTGCTTTACCGTCAACTGAATGTTACTAGCGTGTGATAGATAGCTGCTTCACCTTCAGCTGAATGTTACTAACGTGTGATAGATAGTTGCTTCACCGTCAACTGAATGTTATTAGCGTGTAGTAGATAGCTGCTTCACCTTCAACTGAATGTTACTAACGTGTGGTAGATAGCTGCTTCACCTTCAACTGAATGTTACTAACGTGTGGTAGATAGCTGCTTCACCTTCAACTGAATGTTACTAGCGTGTGGTAGATAGCTGCTTCACCTTCAACTGAATGTTACTAACGTGTGGTAGATAGCTGCTTCACCTTCAACTGAATGTTACTAGTGTGTGGTAGATAGCTGCTTCACCTTCAACTGAATGTTACTAGTGTGTGGTAGATAG